CGAGATGCTGATTTTAATTCTTTTGGGTATACACCCAGAAGTGGGACTACTGGATCATATGGTATTTCTATTTTTTTATTTTTTGAGAAATCTCCATACTGTTTTCCATAGTGGCTGCGCGACTTTACATTTCCACCATGAGTGCACAAGTGTTCCCTTTTCTCCACATTCTTGTCAACATTTGTTTTCTTTTGTGTTTGTTTTTATTTATTTATATTATAACCATCCTAAGAGGTGTGAGGTTAATAGCTCATCGTGGTCACAATTTGCATTTTCCTGATGATTAGTGATGTTGAGCACCTTTTAACATTCCTATTGGCCATTTGTATGTCTTCTTTTAAGAAATGCCTATTCAGTTCTTTGCCCATTTTTTAATCGGGTTATTTGGGGGTTTTTTGTTTTTTGTTTTGTTTTGTTTTGTTTGTTTGCTATTAAGTTGTACAACTTCCTTATATATCTTGGACATAAATCCTTTATCAGATACCTGATTTGCAAATATTTTTTTCCATTCCATAAGTTGCCTTTTCATTTTGTCGACTGTCTCCTTTGTTGTACAGAAGCTTTTTAGTTTGATGTAGGTCCCAATTGTCTATTTTTGCTTTTGTTGCCTATATTTTTGGTGTCACATCTAAGAAATCATTGCCAAAATCAAGAAGGTTTTTCCCTATGTTTTTTTTTCCAGGAGTTTTATAGTTTTGGGTCTTATAATCCATTTTGAATTAATTTTTGTGTATGGTATAAGATAAGGATCCAGCTTCATTCTTCTGCCTGTGGCTGTCCAATTTTCCAATACCATTTACTGAAGAGACTATCCTTTCCCCATTGTGTATTGTTGGCACCCTGGTCAAAGATACACTGATAATCTATGCATGGCTTTATTTCTAGTCTCTCTTCTGTTCCATTGGTCTATATGCTTGTTTTTATGCCAGTACCATACTATTTTGATTACGGCAGCTGTGTAGTCAGCTTTTGAAATCAGAAAGTATGATGCTGCCAGCTTTGGTCTTCTTGCTCAAAATTACTTTGGCTATTCAGGGTCTTTAATAGTTCCATGTAAATTTTAGGGTTGTTTATTTTTTCCTTCCATTTCTGTTAAAAAGTGTCATGGTAGCAATCATCAATTGATAGTTATCAGTAAATTATGTAGCGGATATTGTTGACCTACAGTGAAACAGTAAGTATATATGAAAACAATGTTTAGGATATGATTTATAGCGATAGGATAAAGAAATGTAGAGTTATGTTTGAGACTGAGTCCTGAATTAATCTGTGCTTTTTAGAGAGCAGGCAAAAGATCACCCATATCCCCTACAATACATAGGTTCATTAGTGAGTTTCTTCCTAAGTTTAAACTTATTATTATTACTGTAAAATGTTTTTGTTAATCCACTTTTAATGATTCTTTTCTGCTAAAGAAAGAGGAGACAAATGGAAGTGGAAGAGGAGTGAGACAATAGATTCTACAGAACTTTATAGAGAGCAGTTTTCCTCTAAATAGGAAAAAAAATTTTTTTGGACATTTTTATTTGCAATGCAGTTTCATCCAGAACACATCAAAGGCACCCTTAGAACTTGATGATAGAGCTAGCAGATTTTTTAGATGATCTAGTAGGATCTTGTTTTGTATGTTGCTCATCTGTGCTTGTACTTTGCCTTGAAGAGGTCCTAACTATTTACATAGGGAAAAATAGATATATAACTCAAATCCAACACTGAGGGTCTCACACACTTGAGAATTTAAAACTCTGAAAATAAGTTTAGGGAAGCTCTCCAGACCATCTCTCTCCCAAAAAAGACTGGGATAAGCCAGAGAAATTTTTTGTTGTTGTTGTTTTTTAAGAAGATATTTAGATGGTGATTAACATAACATAATAAAAAAAATTCTGATAAAAAAAGAAGATATTTAGAAACAGACATCATTTGATTAACATTGATAAAATGTATCTCCTGAAATAAAATATATCTGTTTATTTTATTAAGATATTTACTACACTTAATAGAAAATGGAACTAAATTAGACCTTTTTAAATTTTTATTTTTACCTTGGGGTAGGTAAATCACATTCTGTATTTTAGTTTCACCATCTATAAAATATTAATAGGTAATTACAATTTTTATCGAAGTTAGTCTGAAGTATCTCAGAAAAAGGCACAACATAAATACCACAAACCATACATCATTTATAAATTACTATATTATACAACTATCTTACTCTGTATACTGTTTTGTTCTTTGTATTTATAACCATTACCATCTCCTCACTACTTCTATTGGAATTTAGGAATACCTGGAAAACATAAATGGATGATATACAAAGATAACAGTAGAAAATGCTTCCTGAAATAACAGAAGACTGCCTGAGAGACAAGAAAATTAAAAATTTTCATGTAAATTCCCCAATATACCTGACATGTGTATTGATGAGCCTACTCACAAAGAATTCCAGCAAGATTTTTTATAACTGCAGATATAATCACTGGAAACCCCAACAATGATCACACAATAACCAAAGTGGAAGAGATGGCAAGTTGATCACTCCTGCAGTAATGTATCATCTGGTAGTTGCTTAAAATCTTCCCTGGCATCATTACAGATGTGCTCGTTGAAAGAGGGATCACTTCCTGATGTTCCAACACCAGAAGTATCCCCTCACTAAAAGGCTACCGTGCTCTTCTAAGCCTCCAGTGCTTGTGTTCAGTGTTCATCTCAAGATGCTACACTTTGACAGCTAGCTATAATCATGGCTGGTCTGCTTTCCCTTCAGCTACTATCTGAAGTATGACCTGTTTACCTGAACGGACTTCACTTTCAAAGCCACTACTGTTTTCTAAAGTAGTATTTAGAATCATTTAAAACCTTAGCAATTCACCAGATAAAACATGATGTGTCTTTGGGTGCTATCAATTGTGTAAAACCAATTTTTCAGGCACAAGCTTAAGAGGTGGGAGTGACTGTAAAGAATCTATTATGGGGGGAAAAAAAGAATCTATTTTGACTCAAGAAACTTTGATAGTAATGTATAGCACTTTATAAAAAGGTAGCATAAGCATTTTCATATAGTACCTGAGTCTAAGAAAACCATTTTGCCGCAAATCAAAGTGAAAAGATTAATGATAAAATATGAGAAATTGTATAGGATTGTAAGATGCTAATGTCTCTCCCCAAGTTTTCCAAATTTTATTTTATATCTATTACAAAAGCTTTTATAAACACAACACATAAAGAAATAGAATCTAAAAGCTAGACATAAGAGGGCACCTGGGTGCCTCAGTCAGCTAAGCATCTGACTACGGCTCAGGTCATGATCTCAAGGTCCTGGGATCGAGCCCCCCCTTAGGTTCCCTGCTCAGCGGGGAGTCTGCTTCTTCCTCTGTCCCTCCCCCTGCTTGTGTTCTCTCTGTCTCTCTCTCTCTCAAATAAGTAAAAAAAACTTTCTTAAAAAAGCTAAATATAAGGAACATAAACTGAAAATACACAATTTTGCAATTACTATGTATCTTACTTTACTTCAGATCAACTAGTCTGAAATAAATGAGATATACAGGTAGAGAGATAGGATAATCAGGTGAAAATTTTTATTAATTATTGAAGAAAGAAAAGATGCATCCGTAGATCCTGCAAAACTGATAATATAAATTATCTAATATGAAAATACATAGATGCAATTAAAACTCAATTTCCAATTAAAAAAACTAAAATGTAGATTAACCATTTCACTTCCTAATAAAGAAATGAGATCATAGATAAGAATAACAGAAAATCTGCAATCTCATTTGATCTTGAATTTCAACCTACTAAGCTACAAGTATATAAAAAGACCATGATTGAAATTTGATCAACATTTTCTGTAGGAAAAAGCAACCCAAGAAAAAAAGAAACTAAAATCATGTAGAAATAATAACAGAAGACTCTGTCTGAGAGACAAGAAAGACCAAAGTTTTACTCAAGGCTTTAGATACTTAGATAGTTGCACACAATCTTTAAATCTGTTGCACAAAATGTGCTAAAGACTACCATGCATAATAATATGTCACCCAAGGGATACTTTAAAAAATCACTTTCCTTTGTACTGTACCAAGGGGAATAACTGGTACAGTATCATGTATATACTGTTTAGTATTATCTATCTTAAGACTGAATTCCTTTTTTTTTCTTATTAGTTTTAAAAAGGGATTTTAAACACTATTTGCATAAAAACAGAAACCAAGCCTTAAATTTATGTTTTAAACCTGAATTTTTCTTACAACTTGTCATTTAAAAATCCTATTTTCATTCAGCATGTTTACACTGTGTACCCACTATGAACATGTCTCTATACTAAACACTGATATCTTTCTCAATGAAACTTTAAATTATTTATATATATAATATTATTTATTTGATTTTAATTTATACTTTCTAGTACTGAGTCATTTCAAGTTGCTTCATCCACGGCCCACTTTTTTAGGCAGACACGAAGAGTCAATTATGAAACCTACATTTTTTTCCACAGGAATTTTCCTTGTTTTTCTATTTGGGTTAATGTCATCTTGTCCCCACTCAGTTGTTGTGTTAGAATGTGGGCAGTGAATGAAGCAACTTGAAATGACTCAGTACTAAAAAGTATAAATTAAAATAAAGGCTCCGAGCCAATGTGAAAATGCCCTTAAACCCAATTATTAGAGTACCAGAAAAGGCTGGGACAGGGTAGTTTTAAGAGCATAACATTTCAAAAGATAAACTAAAGTTGGCATTATAAACTCAGGACTTAAAAAAGAAATAAATTAGAAATTATTAAAATTCTACTTGTATTCCTCACAAGACATTTGAAATTTGAGATTACTCAAGTATTTAGAAATAGATATTAGACAAATGGTATCAGAAAAAAAGCAGTGTGCCAAAGGCCATATTTAAATTAATGATGTTATCAAAGGTAAACTGCACTCAATAAAAATCTAACAATATTTGTGTCATGAAAGAACACATATAAATGACTAAACATAAGGATTAAGACTTCTTACCCCATATTTACATTGGCGGGATGTTGCTCCATATTGGAAACGGCATTGCTCGTCAGCATCATACACCTGACCTGGGGCCACAGCTGGATAAAGAAAGTCACGCTTGGGAGGCTCATTATCAAGGCAAGTACCACGGCCTGAACTGTTCAACATAAAGGATCAAAGGAAATTAGGTACACTATGGACTATTTCCATCACAATTATGAAACCATGTGTTGAACTCTTTGTTTTAATAACTTAATGCATGAAAAGCAATATACTCTACCAATAAATAGTCATATAGCAAAACAGAATAACTTTACTGAAATGTGAATAAGAGCTCCAATTGTTTTTTCCAGCACCAAGACACAATAAAAGCATCTCAGACAACAATCTGAAAATGTCATGTTGGCCTTAAAACACTGTTTTAAACTAATTTCTGAAGGAATCAAAACAGAATTTCATATTACTCTAAGCTTCTTGTTTGTTTTCCATGAAAATATAACCACATCTGGTAGTAGAATTAAAAACATAAAATGTGGAAAATTAAAAAAAAAACAACCACCACCATGGTTGTAATTCCTAAAAGACCTAATCTATATACTCCTCTAACTTGGGCAGAACAATAGATGCTGTAGTAAGACATGTCCAAAGGTTCTTGAAATATTTCACTAATAAATGGGCAGAATGACAGATGAGGCCAAGATCCAAAGTTCTCTCAAGTATATTAGAAGTGTTTAGTCTCTCAAAAATTTCATATTTCATCTAGGGTCATCAGAGTTGGAAAAGAGAATGTTCTCCTCTCTGCAATTTCTGCTTTTCAAAGTATGCTTGCACTCAAACATAATATTTTAATTCAGTGGAACAAATAACATAAAGATCGCCAAAAGCCAGACAGAATACCTTAGTTTAAAGAGCTTTATACTTTGCTAAATATAATTGTTCATTTTTTTAGTCAGTGTGCATAAAATAGGACAGATGCTTTTTTACTTTCATTTCACATGTGAGTAACTTAGAATTTTTAAAGAATTCCTATGCCAACATTTAAAAATTTTTTCCAACATTCCTGTCAATTGTGCCAGCACTTGTGTTTTTTTTTCCAAATCTTTTCCATCCACTTTGCCAAAGGAAAATAATTTCACAAGTAGAAGTTCCTCAACTATTATTTAGGACAGTACAAATTTTCATTTATAGATAAGTAAGAAAGAGCCATGCATAATAATGAGTTTCATATTCACTTATTATTTTGTCATACTTCTTAAAAGGTAAAAGTTAATTTGCTATATAAAAATGTGTATTTGCACAGCAGCAAATTAATACATTTTTAAAAATTGAACCATACTACTCATAAGGTGATAGATCAAAAAACTCATGGGGCAGAACACTGTCTTCTTTACACCCTTTCATTTACACCCCTCTTGATTGGTTTTTCATCAATAAAAATATTTAGATGGAATAATAAATGTGTTACTAATATAGATGAGTTTATTATTGGCTATTATAATCATTTCGCTTGTCACTTTGAAGGTATTTAACAGAAAACACCTTTTTTTACCCAGCTATCCAGTTTTCATGACAGAACGCTTTTTACTTCCTATTTATTTACTTTTAAAAATTGACATGCACCTCAGTAAGAGAAACTCTTTCCAGATGAACTTTTAAAATAGCAAGCTCTTTTTATTTTATTACATAAAATATCTTTAATCTACATAGATATGCAAATTTTAGGCAAATGCAATTCTACCAGTAAATTCAAAATTTTATATTAAGATTAATGATAGAGGTCAAATGTGAAAAGCATACAGAAAGAAGACAATTTTGATAAAATGTAATATTCATAAAATAAATCAATTAGCAGTTTAATCCGTAATTTTTCTTCCAAAATATCAGTTTCATCTCCATCTACAACAGAATTATGGAAGTCTTTATGAAAGGATTGAAATATGTTAAAAAAAAATCAAGTTAAGTACTACTATAAATCAATGGGAAAAATTTAAGTACAGGGTCCCATAGGCAAAAATATTTGCCGATAGCATAACAAAGCAAGTATACAATATAGTCACCTAAGTAGTGTTAACTCAAAATCTATTGAAAATTATTATACATAATTACTTGCTGATATAGAAAATTAACCAAAAACCTAGAGGAAGTACTATATGGACCCCTCCCCCAAAAGAGGTTAAGAATAGATACCCTGGGGAAAAATTATTTTCTGATAGCAAACTGAAATTTGGCTTAATCCAGAAGGAAGAAAGAATAATTGCTTCATCTAAAGTTCTTGTTCCCAGGTATTGATGATGTTCTAATCATGGTTCATGTTCTTTAAAAAATACCCAATCCAACAACCATTGGAAGGGCCTCTAGACAATAAAGAAGGCATGTACTGTGGCAGCCTGTGGATAAAGTCTTCTGATAAGATTTATTCCAAAAGTGGATTTTTGTTTCAATTTTTTCTAAGTATTTACTGCTTTGTATTAATGTTGTTGAATTAAATATCTAGATAAGTCTTACTCTCCTTTTCTGTATATTTTCACAGAAGAATAAAACACCGTATGAAATAAAATATAAACAAAAAAATAGAGCTTTATTAAAATGGACGTGTATTTAGGAATACAGCATCAACAAAAGGCCTTTTGAAATGGGTTTGGCTATAGTATTGTACAAACCACTAATGCTTACATGTCAGATGTCTTACCTATTATCGGCTCTGGGGAAACAAGGGTAGGGATATGATTTGAATTGTTTCTACATTTTGGGTAGAAAATGTACTATATATTTTTCTTCTACTAATCACATTTGATATGTATAGTAAAACCTGGATTAAACTATTTGGAGGGTGTGGTAGTTTTCATATTTTAATTCTTTTTTTTTTTTAAAGATTTTATTTATTTATTTGACAGAGAAAGACACAGCGAGAGAGGGAACACAAACGGGGAGTGGGAGAGGGAGAAGCAGACTCCCTGCCGAGCAGGGAGCCCGATGCGGGACTCGATCCCGGGACTCCAGGATCATGACCTGAGCCGAAGGCAGTCGCTTAACCAACTGAGCCACCCAGGCGCCCCATATTTTAATTCTTAACTGGAAGTTAAATGATACAAATATTTTTTGCATAATGTTACTAAAATTTCCTGATACTTTCAAGTACATTAAATCTCTAGATCATAATTATTTTAATTAACTCTTAGAAAATAATAATTCTGGATATTTCCATGCCTCTGAGTCATCAACTGCCATTATGAAATACCACAGATATAAGTGTAGAAGGTAGGGGACATGGATCTGAGAGATGTATATTTAACCCCAGAAGTGTTTTTTTCCTCCTAGAAAATTCCCAAGAGCTCAACCCTAATCATACCCTTCACTTTCTCCAGAAGAAGTAACTAATATTATGACTTTTAATATAATTATTTCCATGCTTTTTTTTAGTAATTATTCATCTCTCAATTATTGATCTGCCTATTTTTGGACTACATAAAAGGAGTAATAGTGTAGGTTTTCTTTTGTGACTTTATTCTTTGGTTCAATATTATGAATGTGAGAAACATCCATGCTGATATGTATAGCTGTAGTCTGTTCATTAATGTTGATAATATTCCATTTAAGACTACGGCACAATTATTTATCCATTTTTCTATTAACAAACATTTGCATTATCCTTAATTTCTGGAAATTGCAAAGTATGTTGATATGAACATTTTTGTACAGGTCTCCTGGTACAAATATTTTTTCCTTTCTCAACATTATTAGATGAGTTATTTTCTTATATTTTGTAATTGCATCTATTTAACAAAAGGGAGATATGAGTAATTGTTATTAAATCTAGGGTTCTAGCTAATTAATATAACCATACAATTCTTCTGATGCTGAGTCTAGTGTTATTTATGTTACTCTTATCAAAATAATAATAGTAGTGGTGTTACACATAAATGTTCTTGATTTTTCTCATCAAATGGCACTTTTAAGCATAGATGGTCTGTGCTTTGGTCATATGCAAATTTTTCCACTCAGAAAACAGAAACCTCACTCTAATAAATTAAATGAAGAGCACTGTTGGTTTCCATCTATGAGATACTATTATAACTTATTGTTATTAAGTAGTGATATACTTGTCCCGAGCAAAACTATATACATAAAAAGTAGAACTCTATTTCCGTAGCAGCATACATTTCACTACTAAAAGCCCAATCTTTATTAATATCTACAGCAATAAAGATGATAATAGACTCTACTTTTGCTTATGCATCTAAGACAGAAAAAATGTGTATTAGCTTGAGAACATGCTTTTTCCTAGATTATGAAATTCTTAGTAAATCAAAGTATATTTACATTTCCAGAAATCTTTGCAGCATGATAGCAAAATCATATTTCATGTATTCTACCTCTAATTTAGAGAAGTCTTATTTACATAGTTTGAAAATTAGCCTTAAAATGGGAACATGAGCCACAGTTGAATCTTCAGCTAAAATTTACAGATCCCTATGTAAAATATGCACCCTTGGCTTTGTTTCCAGAACACATGAGCACATTTTCCTAATTGCAGTTTTAGATTTTTTACTTAAACAATTATACTATAAAGTATAGACCTTCAGCCTACAACACAGTGGGTCAATCTAAAAAATAAATCTTTCTATATAACCCTATACATATCTTAACAGTCTTTTAACAACAACAACAAAAAGTTAATATTTAATGCCGACTCCTATTTTCTACCACAAAACTGTGCTCATACACCTTATATAAACAAAAATGAATTAGACTGTATTATCTGTGGCAAGTCAAGTGTCTTACCTACTAGGTTATTGTAAACTGCTTTATCAGTCTTCACAAAACAAACAATAACTACCTTCTAAAATGAGTTCCTCTAAGTCAGACCTTTCTCTCTTGCCCTCTGTATGACTGGGATGCTTGAAGAGAACTGAATTTGAGGCTTCCAACAAACACCGTACTGCTAATGATTTACTCCCCTATGCTCTCTTCTCCATATGTAATTATGACTTATCAAAGGTTTTTATGAGTTAGGGCAAAGTCCCCAAAACATGCCTGATAAATGGAAGGAGGAGAAACCTGTTTTGCTGTTTCTTGGGCTCCATATAAAAAGAGGGCCCATCTATGGAATTGATTTCCATTTAAATTTGACCTTCAAAGTTAATTGCTATAGAGGAAATGTGAGTGTCTCAGTTATCCTGTTCATCTTATATCACTTTCCTTGTAGCTCTTTCTTTCTAGTTCACCTTCTGCCATTATATTGCCTTTCTTTTATTCAGCTTCCATCCTTTCTGTGAAAATGGCTAGTCTGTATTTAATTTGGAGCTGTAGGAAATTTTGCTATGGATCTCTGACAGTTCAAACAATTTAACAGACTTTAATTTAAATAGAGCAAAAGTTGATTCACAGAGGCTCCGGAATTTTTGAAAACTATATGAAATTACTCTGTACTACCGCTAAGTGGTGGAAAATGTATGAAAAACTGGCCTAAACTACTTCTGGCTGCCTTCCACTGCCTGGTAAATTAGCCCATAGTCATCAATGAGTGTGAGCCATAATACCAGGTTCATCTTTCTCTATTTTCTAAATAAATAAGTAAATAAGTCCCGCAGGCAGATAGGAAGGACACTACCTGCAAAGCCGTCGTCGAAAACATCAGAAGCTGGCATAACACGTCCATTTTAACGGAAATGGGTTCTTTATTATTTAATCAGGACGGCTTCTGGGCGATTCATGAACCACTTATTGAATCACCGAGTTTAAGAAATCTGAAAAAAAATATTGGGAGTTGGTAAAACACCATCTCCTGATTGATCAATAGCACCTAGTGTTTCAGAAAGACACGAGAGACTTTACTCTATTGGCATTTAAAGGCCATGGAATTGTTTTCAGTTGAACATAGTGAATAGTGAATCTCTGTAAATCATAGAAAGCTCATTGTTAGAATCCACCATCATCTTGGGCCTATACAGTCACTAAGTAAAGAAAGGTATGCATTTTGTTGGCTGGGCTGTAGTTCCTAAACAATTCATCTTTCAAGATTTCTTTTTCTTGAGAAGAGAAACTAAAATAAAATGTTATGAGTCTTTTTGAGCCAACTATAAAACATAAATGTAACCTCAATCCCTGATCAAAATATCACTGGATTTTTAAAAATATCACACATAGCTGTTAAAGCAATTAAGCCAACTGTATTAATAAAAAGGAACAAAGAAAATCAAGAAAGTTACTATTATGTCTTTGTGCTCCAGTGAACTGAACTTTTTAAAGGGCGCTGTGTTTAAAAAACCTTATTGCTTGGTCAGATTATAATCAGAGTTGTTTAGTTTATTATTAAAAAAGGGAAAAAAGCCAACTTTCCCCAAATCTCTACCTATTGTCTTTCATATCTATCTTTTACTAATGGCTTTTACTGTGTGAGCATTCCCATGAGGATGCACAACAGAAATTTTTTTTTTACAACAGAAATATTTTTATAAAATACAGGATAAATAAGCCCTTTAGAACCCTGTCAACACCAATCATGCTTACATACAAAATGCAAAGAGGCAATAAGGCTTAAATAATGCTTTTTGGATTAATTCTTTTAATTAATTCAATGGAACACTTTATTGCAACCAGTAATAATTTTACATCTCTCACCAAATCTGTGGTGGTTTCTTAACAGTAATTAGTAATTTAGGGATTCCCTTTCCAAGTATTTTAACTGCCTTAATACAGTTTCATCAAGGCAGGGTCTGGCAAGACCTCAAAACTGGTCCTTGTATTAAGTATACAAAGATGGTCCTAGCAAATAGGCTGGGCAAAATAAATGGATAGGGGAGAAAGAAAATTGGTACTTAAAAAAAAAAAAAACATGAGGAGAGAAGACTTCAAAAATGCACAGGCATACTGAGCATATTATACAGTTAGTCTTTCTGGTGATAGACACTAAGATTCCATTATAAAAACATGAGCCAAGTCAAAGGAGAAATTCCAGATTTGGCTTGATTTCTGGAGAAAGCAGATCTTCAACAATGTTTAAAATTTAGGTAATATGATCTCATTAAAAACATCTTGGAAAATGATAATGCTAGGGCTTTGTGTTAAAAACCACCAAAAGATGTCAAACAAATTTTCTGTCATCTATCTTTATAGCTTTCAACCCAGTTTTGGCATGAGGTAAGTACAGTGTTATAATTACCTATTACTAACATTAAATATTTTTAGGTTATGGCATAATTTTTCTGAGGAACTACCTTCTGATATGAATTTCCAATTCCTCCTATTTAATTATTACACTAATTCAAAAAAGGCCATTTTAAACATTTATCTTTTGATCTCTAATTGATGAAACCGTTGTGCTAGGTAATTTAAAATCTCTTGTTTGGGGTTTTAAAAAAATACATAATTTTAAGTTTTCAGAAATTTCAGCTATTAGCAAATATGAGCCAAACATTAATAAATAATATTACCTTACATAACCTAACTGAATTTTGAAAGCTTTAGACCATTGTCATATAAATGTGAACTTTGAACAAAGACAGTTTTTAAAAAGAATTTCTGTAGTTCACGTGTGTTTTTTCTATGATTCACTTTTTCACAGAGTAAATTTTACTCTCTCCTTCCCAAAAACACAATGGCACAAAACAGCTGAAAGTAATGATAGAGCAATAAGGTTTAAAGCCTCGATATTATTTAAAATAATATCTATCACTTAATGAATGTCTACTGTGTTTCATATACATTATAACATTGTACATAATTATATATATACAAAAACCTGAAGATGTATGTATTTAACATGTGAGGTCACTGAAGATTATGAAAGGTCAAGTAACATGCCCATGGTCACACAGTTAGAAAGTGAGACCTAAGTCTGTAAGTTTCTGAAGTCCAATCCTAAAGTCCTATGCAGGTGAGATGTGGAAGAATATCTGCTTTCATAAACATAATTACACCTCAGCTAATTTATTTATTTCACATTTAAGTAACCAGACTCTTAGAATATATATTAAAAGATCAGCAAAGAAGTTCTCAAACTACAGAAAAGATGGGTCACATAATAAATTTTCAAAGACAAATTTTCATTTTCTCATTTTCATTTGCTGGGTGTTTGGGTTTTTGTTGTTGTTGTTTGTTACGATTAAATACTTCAGCATTCCTAAAAAAAACTTAGTTTTTTCAACAACAAAATGAAATACATAATCACTGAAATTAAGTTTGGCCTACACACTATTAAGCTGTGTAAATCTAAATTCTTTCTGACATTGTTTCCCATTTATTGAACATTTCTGACACTCACATCATCAACCCCACTTATAGCCTTGCTCCACATTCTTTAATCTACCAAGTTCTGCTTGAGTATGAAGGAAAAAATTTGCCACAATGATATATTAAAGTATTTTGGGAACAGCCTGAAATATCACCCTATAAAAGTTACTCATTATGCAGTTTGAAGCACTACATATTAGGCTTCTACCAATGGCTTACTTCTGGAGCAATTCATCATCACTCTCCAGAGATTACTTACTCTAGAAAGCTGGTGATATAGTCTCGACTGCAGGCAGACCAGGAAAAAGGATTGGTATTTGCAGTAATGTGAGCTGCCATAAGTTTTGCTGCTTCATGACCTTTCGTCCCACAAGAATTTCCAATTCCATCATGGTTCATACCAAAACTGTTTTAACAAGGAAGAAACATAAGAAACATAAAAGAAAGAAATAAAAAAAAAAATAAAACAAATGAACCCCCAATATATCCTTTATTTCCTTATTTGATCATTTGTTAGCCTTATCAACATATAGCTTCTATCAAGATCCTCTAAGGAAATACAGGATTAAAGTTAAGGAGACTACAGAATAATTCTATAATACAATTTATTTTTAAATCTCTTTAATTGATCATATACTTTCAAATATTAACTTACAGGATAATCTTTCCTTGAACAGATAAGGAATATATATTAATCCTCACTTTATAGGTATGAAAAACTGAGATTTAGCAAAGATAAATGACCTATTAAAGATCATACAGTTAGTAAGTGTTAGTAGAACCTGCCTTTTAACATCCTAGAGGTCATGCTACCTCACTATGCTGAATTTAAAAGAGAATTATAAATATATAGTTATAATCCATTGAGTTCTAGGTTAAAGGTCAAATACAAAAATCATTTCCTTATTAATATAGATAAAAGAGAATTCAATACATATGCAATTTATGTTTGTATGTGTATGTGTGTTTTCAAAACGCCTTTTGAAAAATCTTGATACATTTAAGGATTATGATTATAGAGTTTTTCTTTACCTCGGTTTCCCTTCATTATTCAAAGCTTGTCTTTGCCATTTTCCCCCTGTGTCCTATAGCCATGCTTAGTGCTATTATCAATGTGATATAAAAACATATCTCAATGATTAATCATAAATTTTTTCTATAAATGATATGAATATGAATAAATTTTAGTCTTTCTCCACAGATAGCCAAAAGCTTTCACTATTAGTGAAAAAATAAAGTTATGTGTCCATTGTGACATCCTAATAAATATACCATGATATGTGTTCAAGGAAATAAGTAATTTGTGTGACAAGAGTATAAAACAGATGAGGACAGTTGTTGGAGAAAAAATTGGAAAGGTACTTGAGAAGAGAGAATTACAATAATTGAAAGTAAATAATAATTTTGGCAGTGCAGAGACACTGAAGATTTCTGAGCAAGAGACTATGGAATTGATCTGTATTTTAGACAGGTCATTATGGTAATTCTATGGTGGAGACATTGGAGTGGGAAGAGAATGGAGGCAGGGAAAGCAGATGGAAGATCATTACCAATTGAGAAATGATGTAGGTCTGAATAGGGCACTGGATAGAGAGGTGGGATTATATTTGAGATATGTTTAGGAAGCTGAATGAATTGGTCTTTATAAATACAATATAAAAGAGCCATAATAAAGATATATCATATGTGGGGCAAAGAGATGAAACTAGTAATTCACATGGAGGAACAAACATAAGCAAAGAAAGAGAAATATAGAAGAGTGTTTACCCAGAGCCCTAAATTAAAACACCAAGTAACCCACCAAAATAACCAAAAACTAAATACACCAGTATTTAGTCTTCTTATTTGACATCAACACACTGGAATCAGTCTCTTTGAATGATCTGCTAGGAACATGATGGTGGAGTTTACAGTTTATAGAATTAGATATAATTCTGTCAAAACAATCACCTGCAGAGTTACATAGAAAGCTCCATAATGTAAATTTATAATTCAATAAACAATATTCTATACTTCTCTCAAAGGCTGATGCTATCATGTGAATACTACTATTATTCTTCTCAAATGATGATAGCTTTAAAAAAATTATTTCCTTTTGGCAGCAGCCTTATACATATGCCTGAGTCATATGAAGATAGGTATAGGCAGACACAGATGGTTTTAAGAAAATTATTTTCAAGATCTTCAAATTCCTTATGTATTCTTTTCTAAAAAAAAAAAAGTCAAGCTTCTCCTTTTTATATCTTATTTCTCCTACCTTATAAAAGAAAAACTTATCCTTTACTCATCTATAATTTTACAATAGTTCATTGCCTTGGAGTCTAAAAATGTGGGTTTCAAGAAGAGACAATCAGAACCATTTTGTATCAGTGTTGAGAAAGAGAATGATTTTAATGATTGAATAACATGTAGTTTCTTGTTTTCATCAAGTTTACAAGAGAATAGAATCAAATTAACAGTCAATGGGTTGTTAAAATTTTTTTCTGATGCTAGATCACCATTGGTTATGTTCTGACAAATAATTCAAAAGGAGTTCAACGAACTGAGTGATATTTCTACAATAAACTCTTTTCATCTATTTATGTGAACAAATTTTCTCAGCATTCAAATCTATAAAAACAAAATCAAAGAGTCGAATTGATACTGAAATTCTGCCTCATTCTAGCAAGAGAAACAAATACAGCAATTGAAAAAATATAACTACAGGCACATTTTCTATAAAATTTTATTTTTAGATTTTATTATTTATTAAAATATGTAATATGCACATGATTCTCTGATCAATAATTGGCTAACAATGATTGTAATGTAACAAATATATAATTCAGAGACCATTTTTCCCTTTATTATTACAGGAAATTTTGTAAATGTAATTGCAATTTATATACATTTTTGTGATGGAGATATGATATAATTAAAATACTTTAAAGTATAAAAATATATTTTAAAATATATTAAGAAATACTAAAATATACATCAGGATAGACTCTGGCTGGGAAAGAAAGACTAAATATATTGAGTTAAAAGAGGGAAAAAATGATGCAAATTTTGACTATAAAACAAGAACCTGTTCACATATTTTTTAAATGCATAATGAAAGTCACCAAGATGCTATGGCATTTAGATTCAATTGATATATTTAAAAGAGGCATATAAAGTTTTATTTTTTTACATGCTAATATTTACAGTGCTCTAGAAATTCTATCCTTTGCAATTAAAAGGTTGAGATTGTGTCATTTGTGACAACATGGAGGGTGGACCTAGAGGATATTATGCTAAGTGAAATAAGTCAGACTAAGAAAGACAAACACATCATATGATTTCACTTATGTGTGGAATCTAAAAAAAAACCAAATAAATAACAAACAAAAAGCAGAATCAGACCCATAAATACAAAGAACAAAGTGATGGTTGCCAAACGGGTAGGGGTATGGGCAAAACAAGAGAAGGGGAGTGGGAAATACAGGCTTCCAGATATGGAATGAATAAATCAAGGGAACAAAAGGCACAGCATAGGGAATATACTCATACAGTATGGTGTCAGATGGTAGCTATGTTTGAGCATAATGTAAAAACTTGTCAAATTACTATGTTGTACATCTGAAACTAATGTAACATCGTATGTCAACTATATTTGAATAAAAATTTTTTTTAAAAAATTCATGAATTCAAGTACATAAAGGAGGAAATCTTACAAGTTCTATTTCTACTAACAATCTTGAGGTGTCAAATGCAGATAGTTATCCTAAGGACTTAGGTTTCAGTTGTCTAGAAGAATGTATACTTTTGTAGCTTATATTTCAAATATAAGAAACCCCAAAAATGACCTGACCAATGTTAAGAAGTTCACTTACAGTGACACAAAGTAAAATGGGAGTTTACAACTGCTATTCATGACATCAACTTCAAAAGATCCCTCTAATAGGCCAATCAGGCTGAAGCAGAAGACATATATATATATATTTTTTTATAGATATATATATCTTTATATATATATTTATTTATATCTTTATATATATATCTTTATATATATATATGTAAAGATAAGTTCCCTCAGTCAGTCAGAGAAAGGCAAATACCATATGATTTCATCATTTATGGAATTTAAGAAATAAAACAGATGAACACAGGGGAAGGGGGAGAAAAAGAGAGAGAGGGAAGAAAACTGTAAGAGACTCTTAACTATAGAAAACAAACTGAGGGTTGATGGAGGGAGGTGGGCAGGGGATGGGCTAAATGGGTGATGAGTATTAAGGAGGTCACTTGTAGTGATGAGCACTGGGTGTTAGACATAAGTGATGAATCACTGAATTCTACACCTGAAACCAATTTTAACATATATATTAACTAACTAGAATTTAAATAAAAACTTGAAATAAAAAAATAAAATAAAATAAAATAAAACAAAGATAGGTTCCCTGCTGAGGAAAGTCTATCTCAGTGAAGAGTTGGTAAAAGAAGTGAAACTCATTAGTGATCAGAAAGAATAAACAAGAGTTCACATTAAAACCATCACGCTGGCAAAGATTAGAATGTTACCTAGAACTAAGTATTGACAGTGGTCTAGAGAAACTGGGACCTTAGTGCCCAACAGTTGTACTGTGGTCAGGGTAGCTGTTCTGGAGAGCAATTCGGCAGGTCTTCGTCAAATTAAATAGGCAGATATTTTATGACCCAACAATTCTATTCTTGGATATGTATCCCAGGAATATTCCCAAAGGGAACATGTATGAGGATGTTCATGACAGAGTTATTTATGATAGCAAGTTGTTAAAGATAATCTAGGTGTCTGTCACTGGGGAATGGATAAGTAAATGTTGGCAGATGCATATTATGGGATACTAAGCAGAAATTGGAAGCAGCAAACAAGATAGATGTCTACATATAAATATGGGTGGATCTTAAAAACACTGAAAAAAATTAAGAGAAGTAAAAAGATCTATAGTATTATATTATATCATATAAATACATAAGCAAAAATTAGATACACACTCAGATAACAAAGAAAGGTCAAGGAATTGTTCCAGATTAAAGACTAAAGAAAAATAACTAAATGCAATAGGAACTAGACTGGGTGCGGGGGCGGGGGGGCAATTATAAAAAACACTTCTGGGACAATTGATTAAATTTGAATACAGACTGCATATTCGATAATAGTATATCAATGTTAAATTTTCTAGTTTAATAATTATACTGTGGCACAGAAGATATTTTTTCACAGATACTGAAATATTTAGTGATAAGGCACAGTCTACAACTTATTCTCAAATAGTTGAGAAAAAAATACATGTACATATACAGAGAGATATAAAGTAAATGTTGCAAAATATTAATGGTATTTGAATCTAAGTAAAGAGCACATGGGAAATCTTTCTACTACATCAATTTTTCTGTAAGCTTGAAATT